GTGTGACTTGTTACAGATAATCAGTTCTTCACTCCTCTTTAAAGCATCACTGAACAGGACTTCTAGTGTGACTTGTTACAGATAATCGGTTCTTCACTGCTCTTTAAAGCATCACTGAACAGGTCTTCTAGTGTGACTTGTTACAGATAATCGGTTCTTCACTCCTCTTTAAAGCATCACTGAACAGGACTTCTAGTGTGACTTGTTAAAATAATCGGTTATGCATTCCTCTTTAAAGTATCACTGAACAGGACTTCTAGTGTGACTTGTTACAGATAATTGGTTCTTCACTCCTGTTTAAAGCATCACTGAACAGGACTTCTAGTGTGACTTGTTACAGATAATCGGTTTTTCACTCTACTTTAAAGCATCACCGAACAGGTCTTCTAGTGTGACTTGTTACAGATAATCAGGTTCTTCACTCCTCTTTAAAGCATCACTGAACAGGACTTCTAGTGTGACTTGTTATATATGGTTCTTTACACACCTTTAATGTTCTGAACATCTTCCTGTGTTTATAAACTAATTGGATTATACTTGTTGTATTGGGTGATAATCAGTTTTCAATAAAAGTGAATAAAGTTAAAGAAAAAATCAGCTGTATAAGTTTATTTAAAATTGTTTTTTGGACTTTGCCAGCCTTAGGTAGGTTCATACACTTTTCATTTAAAAACATTCTAGAACTTTTCCAAAACTCAAACTAGGATTATTTGGAAATATCAGTTTACAAAAGTTCATGCACATTAATGCATTCACAGTACATCTTAAAAACATGTAATAACTGCACCACACCATACAAACAGGTGCATTCACAGTACATCTTAAAAACATGTAATAACTGCACCACACCATACAAACAAGTAAAATTGCATAGTTTAAAATATTGTTTTGATTTCATATGTTTGTTGGGTTTTACACAATCTACACTAGAAATTATTAATTAATGCCTAATTAAGCAGTTTTTTATAAAAGATCTATGGTACTGAATGTGTATTTTAATTTACCATGCATAATTAATGATAGTGAAAATATGAAAAGTTGGTGTAAGGAGTGGTATTAATGGTGAAGGAAAAGTTGCACACTTCAGGGTGCATTTAAGTGTTAAAAAAAACATAGCGAATCAGTACAAAAATGGGTGCAAATTTAGAGAAGAGTGTCTTGTAAATCCAAGGTACAAAGAATGTTTCACATCACACAAGTATTCTAGAAGTTCAGTTTTGTGATAAATATTCTGACACTGCACTGTCCATCCACATGTACAGAAAAAAACACATCTGTTATCTGAAACTTCAAGGCTAATGTAGGAATGAGATAATAACCATAAGAAATACTGTGTACAAATGATCAGGTCTGAAAGATTTCTAAGTAGACTTATTGTCTCACCGTGCCTGTTTGTATGGTGTGGTGCAGTTATTACATGTTTTTAAGATATAGTATGAATGTACTTGTTTGGATGTTGGTAATGTGCGACTTGTTCATCAAGAGACTAGAATATTCTGGATGTTGGTAATGTGCGACTTGTTCATCAAGAGACTAGAATATTCTGGATATTGGTAATGTGTGACTTGTTCATCAAGAGACTAGAATATTCTGGATGTTGGTAATGTGCGACTTGTTCACCAAGAGACTAGAATATTCTGGATGTTGGTAATGTGCAACTTGTTCACCAAGAGACTAGAATATTCTGTATGTTGGTAACGTGTGACTTGTTCACCAAGAGACTAGAATATTCTGGATGTTGATAATGTGTGACTTGTTCATCAAGAGACTAGAATATTCTGGATGTTGATAATGTGTGACTTGTTCACCAACAGACTAGAATATTCTGGATGTTGGTAATGTGTGACTTGTTCACCAAGAGACTAGAATATTCTGGATGTTGATAATGTGTGACTTGTTCACCAACAGACTAGAATATTCTGGATGTTGGTAATGTGTGACTTGTTCACCAAGAGACTAGAATATTCTGGATGTTGATAATGTGTGACTTGTTCACCAACAGACT